GGGCCGGACCACCTCTCGCGCGGCATCTCTGAGCCTTAAGTTGCGAGGATGTCTCAAACGAAACGGGCCAGACCAACTCGCGCGCGGCATCTCGGAGCCCAGATTTGCGAAAATGTCTCAGGCGAAACGGGCCAGACCACCTCTCGCGCGGCATCTCGGAGCGCAGAGTTGCAAGAATGTCTCAGGCGAAGCGGGCCGGACCACCTCTCGCGCGGCGTCCCGGAAGCAACACTTTCGAGGATGTCTGATACGAAACGGCCAATCCCAGCCAACTCAGAAACGAGAGTTGTGAGGATGTCTCCAGCGAAACGGCCCGGACCATTTGAAATGTCCCAACCATCCTGTTGTGTTGGGTCCTCATATTGAAGAGACAGCGCCCCGCGTTCCCACTCCCCCTCCTCCTCCTCCTCCTCCTCCTCCTCCTCCTCCTCCTCCTCCTCCTCCCTCCTCCCCCTCTTTGCCTCTGCCCTCCGCATGTTTCTGTCTCGGCACACCCCTCACACGCTTCGTGGCCCCATAGGAAGCTCCACTGAAGGCCCCAGTGGCTGCGCTCGCATGACACCACCGCACCCATCCCGCGGCCCCATGGGGAGCTCCAGCGAAGGCCCCAGTGGCTGCGTTCGCATGACACCACCGCACCCATGTCAGCACGCCCCTCACACGCTTCGTGGCCGCATGGTGAGCTCCAACGCAGACCCCAGTGGCTGCGCTCGCATGACACCACCGCGCTCATGTCGGCACGCCCCTCACACGCTGCGTGGCCCTATGGGGAGATCCACCGAAAACCCCAGTGACTGCGATCGCGTGGCACCACCGCACCAATTTCGGCACACGGCTCACGCGTTTCGTGGCCGTCGTGGCCCTATATGGAGCTCCACCGAAGGCCCCAGTGGCTGCGTTCGCATGACAGCACCGCACCGAATTCGGCACACACCTCACACCTTTCGTGGACCCATGGAAGGATCCAGCGAAGGCCCCAGTGGCTGCGTTCGCATGACAGCACCGCACCCATGTCGGCACGCCGCTCACACGTCTCGTGGCCCCATAGGGAGCTCCACCGAAGGCACCAGTGGCTGCGTTCGCATGGCACCACCGCGCCGAATCCGGCACGTCCCTCACACGCTTCGTGGTCCCATAGGGAGCTTCACCGAAGGCCCCAATGGCTGCGCCCGCATGACACCACCGCACCCATTCGGGCACACCGTTCACACGCTCCGTGGCCCCATGGGGAGCTCCAGCAATGGCCCCAGTGGCTGCGTTCGCATGACACCACCGCGCCCATGTGGGCACACCCCTCACACGTCTCGTGCCCCATAAAGAACTCGACCGAAGACGAGACCAACACTTGCGCTACTTTACAACTGCACACGGTTGGGTTCTTCGCCAGGGTGTCTCGTTCCCGCTTTCCCTCGGCAGGAACTAGCTTCTACCACAGCAACACCCCGTTCAGCAAGCTGCTTGGGGAAAGATAGGCTAACTGTGCTCGCTGTATGATGGTAAGAATAAGAAGAATACTCATACAAATAAGACTAATACTCAGACTAATAATACTGCCAATATTCATAATACTAATACTACTACTAAAGATAACAATAACATGATAATACTAATACTAATAGTAGTAATAATAATAATGGTATTAAGAATGATATTAATAATACATGATAGTATTAATACCAATAATAATTATTATAATGCCACGAGGAGTCGTCAGCAGACAATGTTGGGATTATTCTTGAATGCTCCGCCTGTAGAGGGACATGCCCGATTTTAATCGATTCCCCACTAACGTTGCCCCTGAGCGACAGTGACTGCGGCGACGGTGTCGAGGTCCGATTCGGGAGCATTCCTCGACGTCGGCCTCGATGTTCGGCCTCCGGGGGCCGCCTTCGGGACCGAGCGCCGTCAGAAGTGGCTGTGGGGTGAAACCTTGCACCAATAAGCCTTGCCATCTCTTCGGGGGGGGGCCGACTTTCACTCCCGCCGCCTTCCGCCGCCCCTTCGCCGAGGACGAGAGATCAACTCCCTCGATCCTCGAAGCCCCCCCTGCTGACGCTACCCCAGGGTGGACCCCGGATCGGCCCCGGCGCTGCGCGGTGGCCACGCGCGCGGCGACGTCTGGAGCGGGGCGCCCGGCGCCCGCACCTGCGGCTCGGGAGCGCGCGGGCACCTCGAAGACCGGCAGCGGCGGCGGCGACGAGCTCGAGGCCCGAGCTGGGGTACTCCAGATATCGATATAAAGGGCGGGCTCTCCCACGGGGGAGGTCTGACACGGCGTGTCTTGGGGGGTCCAGACCCCCTCCCTTTTGTTACGAAATCTGGAGTTATGTGATTGCTTGTCCCTCTCATCGAGGTCCACGCTCTGGTTCGGAGGAGGAAGGGGCAACCAAGCCGTTACCATCCCCTCTGTTTCGCGTTCGTGGGCCTTTTGGGAGGCCCTCCTCCTCCTCCTCCTCCTCCTCCTCCTCCTCCTCTTCCCCTCCTCCTCCCCTCCTCCTCCCCCCTCCTCCTCCTCCTCCTCCTGAAGAGACATACTCCTCCTCCTCCTCCCCCTCCTCCTCCTCCTCCTCCTCCTCCTCCTCCTCCTCCCCCCTCCCTTTTGTTACGAAGTCCGGGGAGTGCCGCGCGGGGCCTGCTCGAGAGCAGGAGGGCACGCCGCAGGCCGACCCGAGCCCTCCCTCCGACCGCGCAGCGCACGCGCCGAGCGCCGACCGAGAGAGCGCCGACCGAGAGAGCGCCGACCGCAGCCCTCCAGCGAAGCAAATCGAGTCGACCGAGAGGGAGGAGGGAGGAGGGAGGAGGGCGGAGGGAGGAGGGAGGAGGGAGGAGGGGGGGGGAGGGAGGGGGGGAGGGAGGGAGGGAGGGAGGGTTGCCGACCGAGACCGCCGACCGGCCTTCAGCTCGATACGGGTCGACCGAGCTTCCGGGAGAGCCCGGAGACGAAAGAAAGGCACTCCCAGGACGGAGAGATCCCGATCACGAAAGACAGGAGGGAACGGGTGCCCCTCCAGAGCCAGGGCTGCTCTTCACCCTCGTGCCAGATGTGCCAGGCTCGCCATCGCTCGGACGTCCATTTCCTGTGTGTTTTTCGGTTTCGTGCGTGGTTTTTTCGCCACAGGATCAAAGATGCTCCTCGATGGCCCTCGCCGAAGGAAAAATGCACACGTCCGAGCGATGCCAGGCAGGAGCATTCGTTCCGGCGCCTGCGCGGCCCCTGGACGAGCGTGCCTCCCGCCGGCAGCTTGGCGACATGCTGGCCGATGGGAGCTGCCCACCGCGTCAACCTCAAAATTATAAGAGGATGCCCAAAAATATACACCACCACCACCTCCCTCCCCCCCTCCCTCTCGCTGGAAAGAGGCGAGAGGAAGAATCGACGTGGTGGTGGTGTATATTCTTTGGGCCCCCAAATTAGGATGGCCGCGCCAGCTTGTGAGAGAGCTCCCGCTGCTCCTGAACGCCTCGTGCCGCCGGCCCATGAGCCGCAGCTGGCGGCCAGCTTCCCCTGGCCCTCACAGCGTACAGAGCTTGCAGCACCATCGCGAACACTTGGGCAGGGACCGACCGTCCCGGCATTCCTGTAGTCATACCACGAAATCTTCTGAGAACCCAAACATGTTCTAAGAACAAAAACAAGGTTCTTAGAACATAAACCCGATGTGTTAAAACAAAACAGATCCAGCCAAACATGTTCTAAGACCATTTCGCGGGAACCACAAGAGGTTCCTAGAACTTTGTTTGGTGGGGCTATAGGCGAGCCGGGACGCTTCGCCACTGCTTGAAACGCAGCCTGCACCCCCGCCCCCGCCCGCTTGCTCAGGCCACTCACCAGCCCACCCAGACCCTGCGCATGCGCCCCGCACTTCCAGGCTCGGCGCGAGCATCGGGCCCAGAGCCCAGAGCCCCACCTCAGGGTGCGATGCGGTCGAGCGTGCCCGTGCTGCTGGAAGGCAGCGCCGGGACGCTACACTGGGAGCTGAGAGACCAGCATGGCCCCACCGCCCGAGGCAGAGGCCTCCCGATGCGCCGGCAGCGCTGTAGAGAACGTGCCCTTGAACATGGCCGAACCTAAACGGATTTTTTCGCTCTCGTTTTTTCCCTCGCTTTTGCCTCGAATCCACCTTTACCTCAAAACGAAGTCGAAACGAACACGGCCCACGAAATCGCCAAAAACACCGTTTGGGTCCAGCCCTGCCCTTGACTGTTGGAGGAGGACTGGCTCAGGTAGGCGGCGGGTGGGGGGGGGGAAGTGAGAAGGGGCGGGCCTTCTGAGAAGGCTCGGAAGTCCCCGGGCCTTCTGAGAAGTCTTCTGAGCCTGTCCCGAAGACAGGAAAACAAACTTCTCCGAAGGCGCGAGGGCTTCCGAGAAGTCCCGCCGCCTTCTGAGAGGGCCTTCTCCTTCTCATTTCCCCCCCTCGCTCGCCGCGTCAGGCCCTGGAAACGACAGGGCCGTTTTTGTTACCGGTTCCGTTTTGCCGTTTTGTTTTGCCGGTTCCATCGCCGTTTTTCACCGGTTCCGTCGCCGCTTTTTGACCGGTGCCGGCTCCGGCTCCCATCCCGGAGCCGCTTCTGTTGCCGTCTCCGGTCGCCGTGTTCTTTTGTGTGCCGCTTCCAGCTTCAAGGGGCACTTTTTTTGGGGGGGAACGGTGCAAAAGCGGCCCCGCCGTTTCCGGGGCCCACGAAGCTCGCCGCCGATCCGGGGGAGGAGCCTCGACCCAGAATCCGCGCCAGCTTGTGAGAGAGCTCCCGCCGCTCCTGAACGCCTCGTGCCGCCGGCCCACGAGCCGCAGCTGGCGGCCAGCTTCCCCTGGCCCTCACAGCGTACAGAGCTTGCAGCACCATCGCGAACACTTGGGCAGGGACCGACCGTCCCGGCATTCCTGTAGTCATACCACGAATCCGCGCCGACGGATCGGCGGCGGGCCCTCGGCAGCGAAAAAATCCGCACGCTCCAGTTCTTATTTTGGGGGTATTTCTTATTTGGGGGTATTTCTTATTTTTCGTCGACAGTCCCCCTGTAGGGGGACACGCCCGACATAAGCCTATCCCTCTGACGTTGCCCCTGAAACTGGGGAAGCCAAGAGGTACCGATGCCGCTGCTCCCCGGACCTCTCCCTGGGTGCCTTCTGACAAGGACTGCGAGGCGAACGCAGCGGTTGCAATCGGGGTGCTTTGCTGGGGCAGTCTTTTGAGGAGGGGGGACGAGCGCGCTCTGTAAAATCCTCTCTCTTCAGCCACTGCCCAGCAGGACGAGCTCGCCCCGCTCACTTCGGCTCGTAGTAGATGTGGAGCTCGATGCCGTCTGGCCCCCATGGGCGCAGCTTGGTGTGGTCCGAGATCTTGCCCGAGATCGGCCTGCTCTCGTCCTCCTTCAAGTAGACGTTGAAGTCGCTGTCGAGGAGGAAGTCCTGGTCGATCTCGAAGATCTTCCTGGCCTTAGTGAGGCACGACTCCACCGTGGTGCTCTCGTCGATGATCACGCGATAGCGTCCGCCAATCGAGGGGGCGGTGAGCATGATCTCGGACCCAGCTTGCCTGGCTACGCGGTCTCCCCGGGCAGCCGTCTGGGCCTTCATGCCAGCGAAGGCCTGCGAGAAGGTCGCGGATAACAGCCACGCGGCCGCCGCGGCGAGGACCATGGCACCGAAGCTGGAGCGGGCCATCGCGGGCTGAAGTGTCCAGAAGGACGGTGCTGTTAGCGACCGTCGCGCGCGTCAGACCAGAACCCTGGAGCTTGAGCCGAAATGGCTACGGACCACACGTCAGACTGAGAATGAAGAGGAACCGCAGCAGGGCAAATGGGGCACTTCCTTCAGTGAAAAGAAATCCTTACAAGGGCCTGTGAAGAGGGAACTTGTAGGAAAGACGTATTGCAACTTCGTTGATGGGTCTTGGGTTTACACTGGTCCTCCTCTTCCTCCTGCTCCTCCTCCTCCTCCTCCTCCTCCTCCTCCCCTCTCCTCTCATCTCCTCCCACCTCCCCCTATTCACCCCTCCTCTTCCTCCTCTTCCTCCTCCTCCTCCTCTTCTCTCCTCCTTTTGCATCCCTCCTACGAGGCCCTCTTCTGAAATGTCCTGTGCGAGGAATGGTCCCATGCGAACGGGGGATTACTGAGAGAAGGCTGGAGGGAGTGGAGGGGATAGGAGGATAGAAAGAGGGGAGGCAACTGGAGGAAGGGGAGGCCGAATGCCACTGCCGTCTGCGACGGTCGCTGTGTGCGTCTATCGACCGATGCCAGAGCTCGAATCACAGATCTGCGAGCATCGGAAGGCTCTCATCGAACCGAGGACGCGACTGGTGGCAGAACCACCACAATCAAAGCCAGCGCGCCATGCAGGAGCTCACGGAAAGCGGCAGAAGCCCCCGGCGAAGTGTGGTCTGGGCGCCCAGGGACACCGACGCCTCTTGTCTGCACGCCCACTCCCCCACTGCCGAGCAGCGCCACCTTTCTCGGGAGGGGCACACGTGGGGGAGGCTTGGAGCAGGGACCGACCGTCCCGGCATTTCTATAGGCCTACCACGACATGCTCTCAGAACCCAGAGATGTCCTAAGAACCATAAGCCATATTTTTGGAACATGAACCTGATGTGCTGAAACAAGACAGTCCCAGCCAGACATGTTCTACGCACACTTCGTGGAAACCACAACGGGTTCTTAGAAGATCGCTTGGTAGGCCAATCGGCACGCCAGGACGCTGCGCCACCGCTCGAGGGCTGGGCCGCGACCCGTCGGGGGGCGACAGATGGGGCAGCAGCGGAGGCTGCAGAACAGGAGCCCCCCCCCCCAGGGCCCGAGGAGTGCACCTGTCTGAAGGGGCCCCAGGACACACAAATAAATACACACAAATAAAAAGATTCCCCATATTTTCTGGGTTTTTGTCTTCCCCCCCACTACCCATATTTTCCCATATTTTCCTGGGAATCGACGATTAATTGTGTCTGTGTGTTTTTTCCTCTCCTGACCATTGAGCGACGCCCACGTTGAGCAGGGACCGACCGTCCCGGCAATCCCATAGGCCTACCACAACATGCTTTTAGAACCCAATGGGCTCTAAGAGCCCAAACGGTGTTCTTAGAGCATTGGCCCGACGTGATAACACAAGGCAGTCCCAGCCCGAAATGTTCTAAGAACATTTCGTGGAAACCACACAAGGTTCTCAGAACATTGGCACGCCCCGCCCTCTTGGCTTGGCCTGGCGCCCACACAGCTCTTGCATCCAGGAGGGGCCTGGCCAGGGAGCAGTGGACGCGCATAGCTTTCGTCGCCCGAAACTCTCACAGGCGCATCGAGAGGCCCCAGGCTGCCCCTGGGCCGCTGGCATCCGCCCTTTTGTGCTCAGCGCGGCTCCCGCATGCCGGGCCCGCGCCCGGCGGCGAGCCCTCTCTGGCGCGGGTGCGCGCGCGCCCGCCCGCGCGCTCTGGCGGTGCCCCCCGCCTCACGGACTCCGGCCCTGCCGGTGCCCCGAGCGCCCGCTCGCTCCCGGCCTCGGCTTGCGGCGGCCCCGAGGGCGTCGGCTGCACACAGGAGCGGCCCTGGGCGAGGGGGACATGTGTTTCCAGAGGCGCCCAACCTCGCGCTCCGCGCCGCGCGCCGCGCGAAGAGCGAATGGACCCGCGCTCTCGCGCCGCCGTCGGGGGAGAAGTGGAGAACCAGGAGGCATCGGAGCCGAACCGCCAAGCGCGAAGCGCGAGAAACTCAGGAGGGAAAGAAACACACAGACACAATTCATCCTCGAATCCCCAGAAAAATATGGGAAAATATGGGAAGTGGGGGGGAAGACAGAAACCCAGAACACATGGGAAAACATGGGGGATATGTTTTATTTGTGTGTATTTATTTGTGTGTCCTGGGGCCCCTTCAGAAACCTCGGCGAGGTTACTCGCGAGGGGCGCCCTCGGGGGCGCGAGGCTCGCGCCCCCGAGGGCGCCCCTGCCTCTGGTGCGCGTCTTGCCGAGCGCTGCATGCGCGGCGGCAGCAGGCCGCCCGTGTGCTCGGGCCCTGGGCCTTCCGCGCCGCCCGAGGGCAGCGCGCACCAGAGGCCCCTCTGGCGGGGGGCCACTCTCGCGCGCCGCCGAGGGGGTGACGAGGGGCCTCAAGCAGTGTATCGGCAACTCTTGCTCGGGATCCATTCTCGGGCGGCGATTGCTCGTCCCCATGCTCCTGCTGCTCCTGCTGCTCCTGCTCCTGCTCCTGCTCCTGCTCCTCCTTCTGCTCCTCCTCCTGCTCCTCCTCCTCCTCCTCCTCCTCCTCCTCCTCCTCCTCCTTACCCTCATCCTCCTGAATTCGTTTTCCTTATACACAACTTCTCCCTGTCGCACCCCGAGGCCGGTCGACAGGGCGTCCTGCGCGTTTCGCCTCAGACTTCCGCACCACGAATGACCCTGAAGCGTAAGCACTGGCAAGTGCTTCACGGATTGAGGGCGGGTGGTTTTCAAAATGTGACTCTCGCCTTAGCGCCGCGCACATTCGGTTTAAACAGTTGCAAGAGCTCACGGGTTCAAGGCGGGTGATTTTCAACATGTGGCTCTCGCCTTAGCGCCGCGCACAGTCGTCCTACACAATTGCAAGCGTTTTGCGGATTGAGGGCGATTCGTTTTTCAAACTGTGGCTTGTAAACATGTGCATGAGCTTCACGGATTGAAGGCGCTCGTTTTCAACATATGACTCTCGCCTTAGCGCCGCGCGCCTTCCACTTCAGAGAATTGCAGGAGTTTCACGGGTTCCCATGGCCAACGTGCCAGAGACGGTGTTTGGGACAGGTTCAGGATTATGAGGGTGCTGCAGTTACTTTTTTTTTGAGGGAGGAGATGGAGAACCACCGCGAAGCTCCAAATACTGCCACAACGCGTACGCTGCCCGTTGAAAGCGCCGGCCTGGGCGAACGAATACTGCCCCCCGCTGGGAAAAGACAGCCGCTAACAAGAGGAACCACCTGTGACAATTGTTGCCCGGGCGAGCGGTCGGGGATGGGGGTGCTGCAGTTACGTTGGTTCGCGGTGTTGAAATCCCAAGGCTGGCGTTCTGGCACGACTCGGGATCGCCAAGGCGCAGCAGTCGCGTGGATCCGCGGCGTTGGAGTCCCGAGAATATAATGTTTTGGCATGCCTCAGGGCCTTCAAACGGTCGACTTCCAACAAGACAGCTCCCCCAGTGGACATGAGTCCTTGTAGGGTGTATGGGGCCTATAAGGAGGGAGCTTGGAGGGATGGTTTATCCCAACATCGTTGTAGATTCTTGGGTTTACACTGGCCCTCCTCCTCCTCCTCCTCCTCCTCCTCCTCCTCCTCTTGTTTCTCCTCCCTATTGTCGTCCTGCAGATCCTGCTGCTCCTCCTGCTCCTTAGATCGGCGGCGATCGCAGGGGGAACGGTGAGCGAGGCCAGACATTCGCTCGCCGCCGCTTAGGGCCCCACCCTCAGGGCCCCATCTTTGAACCGCCGAGGAGTGGCAACCCTAGGGGAACAACGGCAGTGGGGGGCGACCTGAATTGGTGTGCAGAAGAGGGCCGTAAAGGGGCCCGAAGGGCCCTCGTAGGGTCTTTTCCTTCACCCCCTCTTTCAAGTCACCCCCCATTATTCAACCTCGCTCGGACGTCCAGTCACAATGTTCGAGCTCGTGCGTACAGTTTCTCCGTGAGATATGATCTAGTCTGCTCTTCTATGGTCCTCGCCGAGACAACATGCACACGCCCGAGCGATGCCGACATGACCACCCGCCCGACGCGCGCGGCGAGCTGCGCGCGCCGGCTTCGCGACGCGCCTGAGGGCACGTTGCGCTGCGCGGCGAGGCGACTCGTGCTGGCCGCGCCGGGCAGCACGGGCTCAGGCGGCTGCAGCCTCCGTGCGCGCCGGTGCCGGCTCCGCCGGGGCCAGCTGCCTGCGCAGGACGTAGCAGTCCGGCGGCTGGACGTCCTGCGGGGGAGGCTCGTGTCCATATCCACTGCAGCTTGGAATGTTCGGGCCCCCTTCCCCAGAACCCCCAGGCGCACTGGATATGGATGGACAGCTGGCCCCTAGAGGCTCGATGAATGTACATACCCAGTGCGCCTCGGCCTTGCGGCGCCCCTTCCAAGGAAGTCCAAGACGCACTGGACATGGATGTAGATCTTGCCCGCACGTCCTGGCACTGAGCTGGCGGGCGAAAAACTGCCTCTCCCTCCGGGGCCCGCCGCCGAATGAAACACAGCCACATCACGTGGTATCATGTCTCAGCCCGCACAACGAAAGGACTCACACTGCCACTAACTGTGCCAGCCCCACCTCCCCTCACGAAAGCGCTAAGCAAGCCTGATGGCCGCGGCTCCTCCAGAACCGCGGGCATCGGCATCAGGCAGATGTCTTTCGCCCACGTGGCGCTCGCGGGCGAAAAGACATGGAAGGGGCCTTTGGACACAAACATAAATAGACACAAGTAACAAGATCCCCCACACTTTCCCAGATTTCCTGGGTCGTTGTCTTCCCCCCCCCCGACTTCCCATATCTTCTCATCTTCTCCGGGGAATCGACGATTCATAGTGTCTCTGTGTGGGTTTTGTAACGGGCGAAGAACGGTATTAAATAAACTGTTTCGCTGTCGTGGGCGGCTGTCCCTGGGAGGCTGGAAAGTTTATACCCTTACGGTGGCACCGTAGGGGTATAAACTTTCCAGCCGCCCGGGACAGGCCCCACGACAGCGAAAAAGTTTGTTCTACACCGTTCTTCGCTCGCTGAGTTTTTCCCCTCCCGAGGCACGTCCGCATCCGCGGCCTCGGGGGCCGGGCCCGCGGGCCGCGGCCCCGCGGAGGCGGGGGCCCGACGACGGAGGACCGCAACCGACGAAGAGAGCGCCGAGGACTCGCGGCGATGCGGGGGTGGTTCTTCGCGGCTGCCCCGCGCGGAGCGCATCCACGGGATCGCGCCCTCCTCCTCCTCCTCCTCCTCCTCCTCCCTCCTCCTCCCCCTCCTCGTCTCCTCCTCTCTCCTCCTCCTCCTCGTCCTCCTCCTCCTCCTCCGTTTCTCCTCCTCCTCCTCCTCCTCCTCCTCCTCCTCGTCCTCCTCCTCCTCCTCCTCCTCCTCCTCCTCGTCCTCCTCGTCGTCGTCGTCCTCCTCCTCCTCCTCCTCCGAAGGAGCCGCCCTCCCTCCCCCTGCCCCCACGAGGGCATGGATACAGATATGTTCGCCGCTCGCGAGGCGCACCGGGGTGTTTGCCAAACCGAGGGCGCCTCTGAGTGCTAGCCTGGCCGCTGTGCAATTGATCGGGGAGTCTCTCTATGCAGGAGAACTGGCGTGCGCCTGATTCGCCGGAACCGCCAGAAACGGTGCAGAAGCGCGGTTGGTGGCCTCTATTCCTCGCGGGGCTGGGCGTCAGGATGGCGTGAGTCCCCAGAGGAACTCCCTCGAAATCACTCGTGAGCCCCCTGGGGCCATCGGAGCCAAGGCTGGGGGCTGTCAGGGCAGAGACGGGCAAGGGAAGGCACAAGGAGGCTGGGCGAAAGCTAAAGGGCAGAGCAGGCGGAGGATGATTGGGGGCACGCGAGGGCAAGGAGCAGTTGGAGACAGAGCAGGAAGACCAGAATTCTTTCTCCTCCTCCTCCTCCTCCACCTCCTCCTCCTCCTGCACCTCCTCCATCTCCTCGTCCTCCCCCTCCCTCTCCTCCTCCATCTCCTCCTCCTCCTCCTCCTCCTTCTTCTCCTCCTCCTCCTCCTCCTCCTCCTCCTCCTGCTCCTCCTCCTCCTCCTCCACCTCCTCCCCCTTCCCCTTCCCCTCCCCCTCCTTCTCCTCCTCCCTCCTCCTCCTCCTCCTCCTCCACCTCCTCCTCCTCCTCCTCCTCCTCCTCCTCCTTCACCTCCTCCTCCTTCTCCTCCTCCCCCTCCCCCTCCTCATCCATCGCCTCCTCCTCCCCCTCCCCCTCCTCCTCCTCCTCCCTCCTCCTCCTCCTCCTCCTCCGCTCCTCCTTCCTCCTCCTCCACCTCCTCCTCCTCCTCCTCCTCCTCCTCCTCCTCCTCCTCCTCCTCCTCCTCCTCCTCCTCCGGCGGCAGCGCGGAGTCTGATCTTTAGGGTTGCAGTCAATGTTGGACAGCACGATGTGTGTGTGGGGCATGAAAGATTGCTTGAGATTTCCCATCTCCGCTGAGACCCTAGATGCCTCCAAGACACCCACAATACGCCTCCCACGCCGAAGCGTTTTCAAGGTGCGACTTGCTTTTGAAAGGTGCGCTGTACTGAATCTCACCCGATGTGGTAGCTGGTCTTGGAGCTCTCAGGGTTCCCTCTTGGCGCCGTAATGGGCAGTCCCGGGGTCCCCTCAAGGTTAGGTCGGGCATGTCTTCCGACTGGAGAAATTTGGAGGAAAAATGAAAAAAAAAAAAACACTCAAATCCAAACGAGTCAAAAATAATAGAAACATTGTCCCCAGACTATTTTTACTAATTTCTAACATTCCCCCTGTAGAGGGACGTGCCCGACTTAACCTCAAGGGGCGGCTTATACGACGCGTCATGAAATCATCACCCCGAGGTGGCCCCAGATGATCCAAGGCAGCCGCCTGGAGGCCCCTTTACGAGGTCAAAATCCTTGAAAAACCATCTGTCATATGTCGTAAACCCTCAACCCAAAAACGTGTTCATCTCTTGGGAGACGTTTTCTTACTTCCGCCACCTCCCGCCGCCATTCCACTGGCTTCCGCCCGCGGAGGCGGCCTCGTTTTACTTGCGCCGACCTTCCGCCGCCCTTCCGCCGCCTTCAGCGGCGGAAGGGATGACAACCCCTTCGATCCTTGAAGGCAAGGCCATTCTTGGAACGTCTTAAATGTTTTCAATACTTCAAATGTTCTCGCCTTTCATCTTCCAATTGGCTTAGAAAATCTCAAGATGGCTCCGAGATCGCCGGAGATGGCCCAAAATGGAGCCCTCAAGGATTCCAAGAGGACTCAGAAGACTCGCAAGAACGCCCCAGGAGACGCCCCAGAGAACTCAAAGAGAGCCGAAAACAAACAAGCTCCTCGCCAACAATCCCAACGGACGGACAAACGAATGAAACCATCACCCGGCTAGGAAATCAAGCAAGCAACCACAAACCAAGCAAGCAAATACCCAAACAACAAAGCAACCAACTAGAGGTGTCTAGAAATACGGAGCACCCCGCAGATGCGGATAAGAGTGAGGGGGGCGGTGGGGACGTCGGCAGTTTGCGAGACTCTGGAGAAGCCCGCCGCAGGCGCCAAAGTTCCACAAATTATGCAACGAGCCCGCCGCAGGCGCCGATCTTTTCGTCAAACCAATGTGGGTAGGTCGCGGGTGGGTCGCAAATAGGTCGCGGGTGGGTCGCGGGTGGCTCGCTGGTGGGTCGTGGGTGGATCGCGGGTGGGTCGCAGGTGTGTCGCGGGGCGTGTCGCGGGTGGGTCGCGGGGTGAGTCGCGGGTGGGTCGCGGGTGGGTCGCGGGGTGGGTCGCGGGTGGGTCGCGGGTGGGTCGCGGGTGGGTCGCTGGTGGGTCGTGGGTGGGTCGCGGGTGGGTCGCGGGTGGGTCGCGGGTGGGACGACGACAACAAACAGCAACACCAACAACAACGCAACAAGCAGAATCCCAACCACGGATCCCAATTCAGCCACGCACAATGAATGACCGTTCGGCCCCCTCACTCTGATTTCTGAGGGTCAAGTGAGACTTCAAAGTCCAAACTTCAAGACTAACAAACAAGGTGTACATGTGCCTTGCTAGTTCCCTCCGTGATCAACGTGGTACTTCATATGCTAACGAACCCTAGAGATTACCCTATTACCCTAACACTGTCGCTCAGAGATTACCCTAGCACTGTCGCTCCAAATGATGGCTGCCTCGCAATCCTCCGGCCGCCTCCAACTTCTGAAGGTCTATAGCATGTTGTATGTGCCATGTGCATACCTTTCCAGACGGCGTTGCCGTCCTTGGGGTAGTACCCCGTCAAGGTGTCCGTGATCTCGAAGTCGAAATTCTTGTAGAAGGCCAGCGCGCCAGAATTGGACGTCTGCACGTGCAGACGCATCTCGCGCACGTCTTCTGCCTTCCCCTCGTCGCCCTGCGCCAGGTCTACCGCCCACTTCATGAGCTGGCTGGCGAGACCGCGGTGCCGGTAAGGCTTCAGGACGGACAGCGTCAAGATGACCAACGACTTGCCGCCGCCTTCTCTGGCCTCGAGATGACAGCAGATGGACCCCACGAGGACCTCCGCGAAGAACCCGAGCTGGCAGAATCGCAGGCTCTTCTGCAGCAGGTCCTGGTAGAACTGCTCGTTGTAGGCGAGGGGGAACGTGGCCACGTTTAGCTTCTTCAGCTGCCCGACCTTAGTTAGCCCTGGAAACGACAAGGCCGTTTACTTGCAATTTCCGTTGTTCCATTTCTTTGTGGATTCTGACGCCCTTTTTGTCGCTGTTCCGTTGCTGTTTTTGCTCCCCGTTCCTGTTCCAGCTTCAATGCCAGAGCAATATGTGCTGTTTCCGGTCGCTGTTTCTTTACCGTCTTCTTCTTGAAGGGACACTTATTCGGATACGGTTGAGAAGCACCCCTGCCGCTTCCGCGGCCAACTAAATGACCGACGTTCTTCTCCGTGAGGTTGCCGAGGTCCAACTTCAACGGCTTCTTCTTGGCCCCCTCTGCGGCCATCCCGCCTGGGTGGGGCGAGCACCATCGGTCACAACACTACGGCGTGCGAATTGGCAGCGGCCCGGATCACGAGATCTACAGATGCAGATCGCAGACAGTGGCAGCCCAGATCGCAAGGTCTGCGGATGCCGATCGCAGGCGCATCGCGCGATTTGGCGTCGAAACGATCGGCGAACTCTGAGTGAAAACACCGCGCCACTCGGGAACCACCGCGCCGTCCAAGCTTGGGATTGGAGCCAACGGCTACAACATCTGAGCGCGGCGAGGACTGAGGTAAGCCCTAGCGGGGAGGATATTCGAGCCAACTAGCACAAGAGCCAACCAGGAGAAAGCAGCATCACATCGGGCCGGATTGAACTCAAGGCTTGTTTGAAGACAGTCGAAGCAGTCTGGGTCATATCCAGTCCGTTCGATCATCGTACCGAGCTTGATGTAGTTTCATCGTCCCAATCGAAACTGACACAAAACTGCAACGAGCCAGACCGAACATAACCGAGCCGACCACGGTCGACTCGAATTATATTAAAGCGATCGGGAAGTCGAGTGAGATCGGCCCGAACGATCCTAGCTCGATTGAAGCTAAACCGATGTGATCTTACAAGAGTACTGTACCCGAGTCGATGAACAGCGAAAGCCAAAGCCTTCGGAAACGTGTATGGAGGGACGGCGATGATGGGGGTGAGGTCACTGACCGATTCGAATCGGACTGGAGACGCTTGAGGAACAACGCGCTGAAAATTCCAAGCTCCCAGCGTGCGGGAAAAAGGAGCCCGCAGTGGCCCCTCCTGACCGATTCTGGGGAACCCGCTTAATCCAACGCCGGATTCCGAGCTGGCCTCTTCCGATTCGCCTGATAGGTCCTCGAAGAATCGGCTCCTACATCCAAGACGCTCCTCAAGTGCTCTGCTATGCGACAAAATCCCAAAATGCCCCTTAGAGGCCTCAAGAAACCTCCAAGTCTGAATCACTGATGATGCTTACTCTGATGCCCTGAATTCTGGGCCCGTAGACTGCATGTGCCATCCCCCAAAACTAACTACGGAACCTCTCCCTCCCCACTTGGACTCCAGGATTCCCTCGCCCGGACTATATGGAGATCTCCCTCCCTCGGAATACAAGTACCCCCGGCGGATTACAAGTACCCCTCCACGTTGATGCCTCTCAAAACGGTCAAGTTGTCTCTTTTCCCTTTCGAGATGTCACGTGCTATTTCGACGATCGGTCCCGTTGCATGTCCGTCTTTTGAAGATTAACAAACCGTTGTGCTTCAATGTTCGTTGAAATCTCCGGCGAACTTGTTGATTGGATGATCAACTATCCGCATTGCCGCATGCACCCTCGTCCGCCCGCGCCGTTTTCTTCCCGTTTCCAATGAGGCCACAAAGCGTTCTCAACTGTCGCGAAACTTGTCCAGTCATGCCCCTTCCAACGGTGCCGTTTTCGGCTGCCGCTGTTCGTACGTTTCCGCTTCCATGTCACGCGTTTCTAAGCGCTCGAAACTAATTGCAATTCCGATCGCAATGTCCCCAAAACACTGACCACCCCAACAAACGCCCTGTCCATTTTGAGAGACAACTAAGCCCCACCAGTCCGCGCCAACACGAAACGCATTGTAACCCCATCATCTGCAGAACGCCCGATCTGGAAATGCGACCGAAAATGGCGCCCTTCCCCTGGACAACAGCTGCCAATGCGGGAGTCGCCGCGCCGTGTGAAAAGCGTGCGTGTGCGCTTGTTCGCGCGTTGCGCATTCTTCTCAGATCGTGCTGTGAGCGCGTTGTTGTCCTTGACTGGTGCCCATGCCAGCGGGAGCTCCGCGCGTGCTTGCGCACGCACACGGGTCGCAGTACAGAGTCGCACGGTCTCTTTGGCCGCGCGCCCACTTCGGTAACTATCCACGCGCCGCGCACGGGCCGGCATGCTCATGGGGAGGGGCCCACACTCATGGAGCTTCGTGCGCGCGAGGTTCCCTGCACGAGGGGCTCCACGCGCGGGATTGGAACGCCCTCCCCGCGCGCCCAGGTCCCCACCCCTGACTACAGGACGACCTCCTGTGTTAGAGGACCCTCGCCACCAGAAGGCAAGCACCCACGCCCCTTGGACAATCGACCTCCCTCCCCTGCTACAGGGCAATCCAGAGCTAGTCAAAGGTTTCAACGCGCATTGTAGATGTACCGCCGTGATTTGCCATGAATGCATCGCCTCCCTCCCTCCGTCCATCCACCTATCCCTCCTCCCTCCGCTCCCCTCCCTTCCGCATCGCATCCCATCCCTCCCCTCCCTCCCCCTTTCCCTCCCTCCATCTTTCCCGCCCCCATCCGCCAGCGCAGGAGAGGGAAGATGCGGGAGCAGGGAGACGGAGGAGGAGGCGGGGGAGGAGGAGCGGAAGGAACGCGCGAAGCTGAGGAGGGGATGGCGAAGAAGGACAGACTCTCCTCCTCCTCCTCCTCCTCCTCCTCCTCCTCCTCCTCCTCCTCCTCCTCCTCCTCCTCATCCTCCCCCTCCTCCTCCTTCATCCCTTTTCCTTGTGAATAACTCCTCCCTGTCGCACCCCGGGGCCCGTCAGTTGGGCGGGCCGGGCGTGTCGCCTGAGAACGATCCTCAGGCTGAAAAATAGCAAGAGCTTCACGGATGGAAAACGGGTTGTTTCCAATGTGTGGCTCTCGCCTGAGCGACGTGCACATTCGTTTGGAAATCCGCCTGCCGACAGACCCAACCATATGAAGCAACCATACGCAGCTGTGAGTAACATAGTTTCGAAACAACTGTTCGGTGTTCTTTATGGGGCCACGAAGCGTGTTAGGAAAGTACTGAAATTGGTGCTCTGAGCGCATGCGAACGCAGCCACTGGGGTCTTCGGTGGAGTTCCAGATGGGGACACGAAGCGTGTGAGAAATATGACAAAACATGTGGTGCGGACGCATGCGACAACCGCCACTGGGGTCTTTGGTGGTGCCCCAGATGGAGCCACGAAACGCGTGAGGGATGTGCCGAAATGGGCGGGGCGGGCGCATGCGAACGCAGCCACTGGGGCCTTCGGTGGAGCCCCCGATGGGGCCACGGAACATGTGAATGGTGAATCGAAAATGAACGGGGCGCGCGCATGCGAATACTGCCACTGGGGTCTTCGGCGGAGCTCCCTATGGAGTCACGAAGCGTGCCGACTTGGGTTCGGCAGAAACATGCGAACGCAGCCAGTAGGGTCTCCGGCGGAGCTCCTTTTGGGGCCACGAAGCGTGTGAAGGGTGTGCCGACATGGGTGAGGCGGGCGCATGCGAACGCAGTCATTGGGGCCTTCGGTGGAATTCCCCATGGGGCCACGAAGCGTGTGAGGGGTGTGCCGAAATCCGTGCGGCGGGCGCATGCGAAGGAAGTAACTGGGGCCTGCGGTGGAACTCCCCATGGGGCCACCACACGTGTGAAGAAATTAGCCTTGCGAAAAACCCAACCATATGCAGCTGTGAATAACGCAAGTGTGAGTATCGTCCTCGGTGGAGCTCCCTGTGGGGCCACGAAGCGTGTGAGGGATGTACCGAGATGGGCGAGGTGGGCGCATGCGAACACGTGTGAGGGGTATGCCAAACTGTGTGCGGTTGCGCTGCGCGAGCGCAGCCACTGGGGCCTTGGGTGGAGCTCCCTTTGCGGCCACGAAGCATGTGCGAGGTGCGCCGACATGGGTGCGGTGGCGCCATGCGAACGCAGCCACTGGCGCCTTCGGCGAAGCTCCTAATGGGGCCACGAAGCGTGTGAGGGGTGTGCCGAAGTGGGTGCGGTGGCGCCATGCGAGCGCAGCCACTGGGGCCTTCGGTGGAGCTCCCTATGGGGCCACGAAGCGTGCCAGGGGTGTGCTGAAATGAACGCGGTGGCGCCTTACGAACCTTCTCACTGGGGCCTTCGGTGGAGCTCCCGATGGGGCGACGATGCGTGTGAGGGGTGTTCCGACATGGGTGCGGTGGCGCCATGCGAGCGCAGCCACTGGGGCCTTCGGTGGAGCTCCCTGTGGGGCCACGAAGCGTGTGAGGGGTGTGCCGAAGTGGGTGCGGTGGCGCCATGCGAGCGCAGCCACTGGGGCCTTCGGTGGAGCTCCCTATGGGGCCACGAAGTGTGCCAGGGGTGTGCTGAAATGAACGCGGTGGCGCCTTACGAACCCTCTCACTGGGGCCTTCGAGGGAACTCCCGATGGGGCGACGCGTGTGAGGGGTATTCCGACGTGGGTGCGGTGGCGCCATGCGAGCGCAGCCACTGGGGCCTTCGGTGGAGCTCCCTGTGGGGCCGCGAAGCATGTGAGCGGTGTGCCGAAGTGGGTGCGGTGGCGCCATGCGAACGCAGCCGCTGGGGCCTTCGGTGGAGCTCCCGATGGGGCCACGAAGCGTGTGAGGAGTTTGCCGACATAGTGGACATGCGGAGAGAGCGGCAGGGATGGGAGGAGGGAGGGGAGGGAGGAGGAGAGGGGGGCGGAGGAGTAGGAGTAGGAGGGGGAGGAGGCGGAGAGGAGGAAGGCAGGAAAGAAGGAAGAAAGGAAGAAAGGAAAGAACGCGGGGCACTGTCTCTTGAAAAAGAGGACCCAACACCACAGGATGGCTGGGGAAAATCAGAATGGGGTGCGGCGAGTGGATGCGAACGCAGCCGCTGGGGTCTCGGTGGAAGAACTCCCCCGTGTGAGGGGTGTGGGTGTGGGACATGGATGCGGCGGGCGCGTGCGATCGCAACCGCTGTGGCCTTCGGTGGCGCCCCAGATGGGGCCACGAACGTGTGGGGTGTGTGCCGAAATGGGTGCGGCGGACGCATACGGACACAGCCACAGAGCCCCGCGGTGGAACTCCCCATGGGGCCACGAAACGTGTGAATTGTGAGCCCAAAAAGGCGCGGCGGGCGCATGCGAACGCAGCCGATGGAGTCTTCGGCGAAGCTCCCTATGGAGCCACGAAGCGGGTAAAGGGTATGCCGAAATGTGCGCGGCGAGCGCATGCGAACACAACCCCTGGGGCCTTCGGTGGAATGCCCA